TGGCATTGGGGCCTGAGGTGCTGTTGCCACGGCTGGTGGTGATGCGGCGTGTGGTGTGGCTGCTGCTGAAGGTATGGTTGGTTCTTCGCTGGGTTCAACCACAGTAGGTGCCCGTGAACGAGACCTAACAGTGGCTGGTGAACCTGGTACAGCGATCTCGGCCGGGGCCAGGGGCAACAACATGTTTGGTTCTGCCGTCACTGGTGATGGTGGCGCTCTGGGTGATGTCGGTGCAAAGCTAGAGTGTGCAGGTGAAGTTGGCTCATACTCCACGATGATCTGTGGTGGCTCTGCTGTCGGCACTGGTGGTTCCAGTCGGAAGCGATGTCGGGGTGGCTCATCATCTTCTTCTTCCTGCAAGGGCCCATCGGGCTCGGTGTGTTGTTCATCTTCCTCGACATCATCCAGCTGTTGGCGATTCACCCGTCTCAAGTCGTAGAATCGGGTGACTCCACGGGATTTCAGCTGTCTCACTTTGTTGAGGGCTGACTGCAAGTCTTCCAACACATGCTGGGGGCCCAGGATGTCGGCACGGACATGGTGAGGTGCAGCACGGATCAACTGGGTCTTGTAAGCGAGCCAGTAGGTCTTGACCTTAGGAGCTGCGGTGTCAGCTTCAGCATCTTCTTCACGAAGAACAACGTGTGCAGGGCCAAGCCATCGAATCTTGTTCAAGGCTCCTTGGCGAGCGTCACGCCAGAACCATACTCTTTATCCCAACTGAAAAACTCGATTCTGGCCTTGGTACTTGCGACTGAGAGCACGTCGCAACTTGGAGTCAGCGTCAGCTGATGCCAGAGCCATCTTTGCCGAGGTGCGGCGCTCAAGGTTCTCCTCGAAGGTGCTGTTGTTGCTAGCCAGTTGAGCTGCGTTGAGATTGTAGTCCATGAGGTGTGACATCTCTGGTTGGAAGCCAAGTACCCATTGACTTGGAGAGAAGCCGGCAATTGATGGAGTTGCATTCTGTTGAGGGATCACGTAGCAAAGGGCTTCTTTGATGCCTGCAGCATCGTTGAGCTTGCGATCATCCATGTAGACCTCACAGGCACGGCGCAGCACTGCATGACGGCGCTCGACCAAAGAAAGGCGCTCATGAGCTTCTCCTGGTGCTACTTGATGATCAATGCCCAGAGAGCTTGTCCAGGTTTCGAACGGTGCGCCAAGCCAGGGTCGGCCTTCATCGGAGATCAACTTCTTGGGAGGGCCAAAGTGGCGAACCCACATCTTTTCCAGGGCGGTGATGTAGGACTTGGAGGTCTCCTCATGCAGCAGATAGGCTGCCATGAACTTGGTACCAACATCAACTATGCTCAATACTGCAAACTTGCGATCAGCTGGCTTGAGGTAGAAGACGTCAGCCTGAATCACTTCATTGAAGGTCTTGGGCTGTGGCATGGATGATGGAGCAACCTGGTTGGGCTTCTTGTGCTTCAGACATGCCACACACTTGTACTCCTTAGCAGCAGCGATCACGGTGGGATGAGCTCCTCTGGCGGTCAACAAGTCAGCCAGAGCGTCAGGTGCTGGATGACCAAGGTTCCGGTGAAGCCGCTGCACTGTTCGGAGAGCATCTTGTCGGTGCTCGGACTTGAGCTTGAGGAGATGTCCGGTTTCTTTCTTGCCAGTTCCGTCGACCACATACGCGGTGTCCCACAGTTGAGCAGCTTCGGGACGAGCCAGGGCTGCAGCCAAAGTTGCTGCAAAACCAGGTTGGTAGTCTTCCAAGTAGGTGGTCCGGCGTCCATAGCCAGGAGCAGAGCCTTCTAAAGGGCAGTGGTGGTGATCATGGTCACACTTCAACTGAAAGGCTTCAAGAACAGCCTGCTTCGTGGTCAGCAGGCGAGTGCTCTTTTGGACAGGTCGCCAGATGCCGTCGGTGTCCATGCACATGGCTCCATAGCGGCATTGGTCAAAGTCGGCATAGTAACCAGGGAGATCTCGAAGAGCCGTGGTGTTCCAGCTCAGTGCATGCTGGGGCTGCTCCAAGTGAGCATGCCGTGCATTGGTCACCTGTCGTAGGTAGATGCGCTTGGCAAAGCAGAGATGACGACGATGGTGGTGCTCACGACGGGCCTTCAACGCTTCTTGTTGTGCAGGAGTGCGGCAAGCCAAGGTTTGCATTCTTGACCATAGGCGGCATTCTGGTGCCACTAACACTTCGTCAGGTTCTTCTTCATCGAGTCGTTGGAGTAGCTGTTGTTGATGGCTGATGAGGTTGAAGTCCCAGCCATTATCCAGAGAAAACCTTTCCACCTTCATGCCAAGTTCCTCTGCAATGTGACCAGTGCGAGCTTTGCCACAGTAGATCTCCCAGAGGACTCGTCGATGGTCAGGAGGATTGTGAAGCTCCTGAGTGATGTAGGCTTCGGTGGAGTTGGATGTCGTGACCAGCTGAGTCTCCATGGTTCGAAGGGCGTGTCGATGAAGACGAGTGGATTGCAGTTCACCACCTGGCAAGATCATATCTTCAGCTTGGAACACGTGTTCGAGCTTGTTGAAGTCATCGAAGTGGAGATGGCTGCCCGGAGTTTCCTCAGCAATGCGAAGGCTGAACAGGGCTTTCGTGGGGTCAGGCACTTCTTCCACGCCGGTGGTGAGGCTCAACAGGTATTCGCCATGACTTCCCACCAGCGCTGAGGTCCAGGGAGAGCGACCAAAGCGAATGCGCTTCTGGCTGAAGTCGATGCCCATGTGCAAGGCCTCAATCACAGGTCTGCCCATCAACGTTGGCGTATTGCCAGGGACCAAGTAGCATTGAATCGTGCCGAACTGGCCGTCGATCATCACAGGAAGGTCCACTGTCCATGATGCTCTTGAGGAAGCATCGCCGCCAAAATGGAACTGGCGATCGCAGCGAGCAAAGCGGATGGTGTTGATGGGGTAGTTCATAGAGTGGAGCTGACTCAAGTAGCGGCCAAAGGGACCGTAGCCGCAGAGGAAAGCCGATGCACCTGGGTCCAACATGGTGGCGTCAGGTCGATCTGTGCCCATCTCATCCTGGAACAGGACTAAGGCGGTCTCATTCTGCAAGGCCATGCCTTCGGTAGGTGCAGGTCTCTTGTTGGGCGAGACTGGAGGCTTCGCACTTTGTGGACATTGAGCTGCCCAATGACCTGGTTGGCCACAACGAAGACATGTAGTCGCCTTTGCACGACCTTTTGGATCTGACTTCTCACCTGAGGAGGGGGGGTAGCGCACCACGTTCTTTCCTTTTCCTTTGCTTTTGTTCTTGCCCTTTCCTTTGTTCTTGCCAGCTCCCTTCGAAGGTGATGAGGATCCAGAGGCGGCTGAGGTGTTCTGACCATCAGTGAGTGCGACAATCGGCAGGTAGCCACGAGCCAACTTGAGTTGCTGGAATCTTTGCCGGGCATCTAAGTAGGTGGCATAGGCGTGGTCATATTCTTCTGCCAACTCTTGAGGATCTTCAGGTGAGTCATTGTGGTCACCCGTAGCATCATCGTCGCCGTAGTAGATGGCGTCATAGTCGAAGTCAGCCTCATCGTCAGGGGCAGTGTCATCATACCAGTCGTCGGCCTCATAGTAGGCCTCTTCCAGCCAAGGTTGCTCGGACCAGTAGGCATCTTCGTCATCGAATGCAGCGTAGCCGCGGCCCTTCCAGCGGTTGAACTTGCGATCACGTTCAGCATTCCATCCGCCAGCTTTATAGTCCTGACCGAACAACAGGTACAGGGCCTCGATGACTGGAGTCTTTTCCAACGTGGGAGCTTTCAGTGTCACCATCTGGCGTTGCTCCTTTGACAAAGCAGCACGTCGGAGTAGATGCCATCCTTGAACCTGACCTGGAAGGGTCACGTTGTGGGCGGTCAAACGACGGTAGGCGGTGTCATGGTCCGTGACGAAGGACAGGAGGCTTTGTTGAGGCTTTCGTTGCAGCAAGTTGAAGTACTCCTCAAAGTCGTTCGGAAGGAGCACTCGATCATCATACTCGAAGTTCTTGTCGAGCTTGGAGATGATCTTTCCAAAGCCATCTTCCTTCTCAGCTTCTTCGACTGAGAAGTCCTCAAACAACCGCCAAACCACACCCTGAAAACTTCCCAGGATGTTCAGGACAGATTCGGCTGTGCGCTTGCTGATCTTCATCTTGTGGTGGTAGAGCATCAGCCTCTTTCTATACTCTTTGTAGTCCTGGGGTTGGCCACTGAAAAGTGGAACGAAGGAGTCGCGCAGGTTGAGGTAGTCTCCATCCTTGGAGCTCTCTGCAGCCGATGTCGTTGGTGGCATTCTCGCTCAAGTAGCCAAGACCGATAGGGCTCTTCAACGAGGAAACAAAAGAGCTCGGGCAAGGGTTCGTGACAAAGGACTTATGCAGAACCTCGTTCTTCTTCGCGCAAAGGACTCGGAGCCCCCCGGAGGAGGCTCCGCTACCAATGCGAAAAAGGTAGCACGGCGCTCGAGGTCCGTGAAGAGGTCGAAAACGAAGGCACCAAACGAGGTGCCGCGGCCGCGCCTTTTCTCAAGGCGAACGCCCACCCGGTGCTCGAGTGGGGAAAGCGTCGGGCATGAAACAGTTCGAAAAGCTGCAACCTTAAGTGCACAGCGTGAACTTTACAGCAAGGAACATCGCACGGGAAAGGGGGGACATGACATGAAAGGACAAAAACATACAAAGACATACAAACAACATGAAAGAAAACAAGGGTGCTCCTCAGAGAAGATGGTCATGTTACATGTTGGTGGAGGACCTAATAAACCATAGGAATTCCGGAAATCCAATTGAACATTGGGCAAAATTGCGACCTGCAGCCTCCTCAAAGGGGTTGGAACATTTGCTGAAGCCACCCTTGGACTCTTTGCATCCTTATGAGAATTGCAACCAGGCTGAGGCCTTGCTAGACTTGTGGTGCCTAAGCAAAGTATAGTCCCTCAGAATTGCCGGAGCAAATCCATTGAACACATAGACTCGGACTTGAAGATTGCCCAAGGGTTGAATTGATTGGATGCACTGCACAGAAGGCAGCATTGAGTTTGGAGGACCTGTCATGCTGGAATGTCGTCTTGCCAAAGCTGCGCTGCGAATTGTTGCCACAACCAAGACTTGGGTGCCACAGGTGAATGCCACATACTGTACTGCAGATGCAGGATTGATAGCAATCGCAGAAGGTTTGAAGTTTAGGTGTCTAAGTCCAAGTGTGATCACAGGATGTCCGAGGAAGACTGTGCCAAGAACGAGAGAGGTCACCATAAATTGTTCGCACTCTGCTGGCATGAAACATGGTTTGGAATTGACCCTTGCTCAAAGACGAGCCTCGGCCATGGGGGGTAGTGGAGTGTTGTTGTTTGTTGTGAATTGCATGAATGGCAGAGCAAACCAACAATCTCACAAGGCGCTTATGCTGCATTTTCTTCTCCCATCCGATGTAAGCGAATGGCGAAACTTGTTGACCATGCCATGCAACCCCCATCGTATGAACTGGAAAGACCAACCAAGAGGTGCCAATTGCTTCTGTGAAATTTCATGAAGTTTCACCATTGGCAGGTTTGGCAGTAGCCAGGCCACTTTTGGGATAGTGGCAACACTCGAAATCAACCGGGTCAGCTCCATTTTGAACATCAACTGCGGTGATTGTTGTCCTTCTTGGTAGGGTCATTGGCAGAAGTTGTCCTATGAAGTACTATGAAGGTACCTACTTCTACCACTAATTACCTGAAAAAGGCAACATTGACATGAGTTTGATCTTTTGAGAAGTTGTCACTAGCAGTCAGATGGTAAGCCGTATTGCTGCAAGTCGCTGCATACGCGTTGCCGTTTGGCTCGGAGCGGGGTTGGCCAATAAGCATTGGCCAAAGCAAGCTGCAACCCAAGCGCCTTGCTTGTAATTCATCAAGCTTCACGTTTTGGAGACTGTTGTGGTCGGTTGCTCTTTGGTTGGCTGGGCTTCGTTTTTCTGTGCTTTTCGTGCAGGAGAGAGAAGTCCTGTTCGGCGTGTGCAGGGGGGGACAGGACGGAAGATGGCCAGCACGACCGAACGAGCGAAGGGAAACACATTTTTTTGGGACAGAGCAAACTTTACAGAGAAATAAAGCGGCTATTGTTGATGCTTTAGAGCACACTGAGCACACGCAATTGCATGCCTTGTCAAATGCGTAGGTGTTTTTGCTGGTTGTGTGTTGAGGACTACCAAGACACATGAAATGGTGAAGGTGCCGTGGCAGCGAAATCGGGGAGCTCGGGGGGGCCCGAGACCTTCATTCCAACGTAGGTCTCCTTCACCACCCCTTGCCTTGGCTCTAACGTCGAGGGAACTCCGTGGGTTTGTGTGTTGAAATCAGCGGAAGAGAAGGAGGAGAACAGCCCCGCTTCTATGCTGCAGGCCCTCTATGTGTACCTCGTCCGCCATGCGGAATCGAAAAACAACAGCTCTGGGCTTAATGGCAGTATTGGTGGAGCTTTGCACTTTTTCGCCAGGCATCCAGCAGCTCACTTGTACCTACTACCTACCCCCTGGTATTCAGATAGAAGAAGAGACTGTCCCTTTGCTGGCTGCCTTGCCTGTGCAGTTCAACAGGCGCAGTCCGCAGTCCGGGCTGGGTGGCTGTGATCAATTGCAATTGTTGATAAATGTTGATAATTGTTACCACCAGCGTCCGCTCGACGTGGAAGTCCGCTCGCCTGAGGCCGGGATATGCATGATGTGCATTCCTCGGCGAATCTGCCTTCATCGCCTTTGGGAAGCCCCAAAGAGCCACGGATACTCAGTACTTTGAGAGAAGGCCGGGCAAAACTCCTGGAGCGAGTGGCTGAAAGTCGGTCTTGTTGATTGGCATGGACCCCGCAGGGTTGTCACATTCACATCACTGGTGCCAGGATATGAGGAGAAGAAAGATGGAGAAGACGAACTGAAACAGGTCAGATTCGTCAAGAGGGGTGCCGAAGGGCCCGAAAGGGTGCAGGTCATGACGAATCCGCCACATGGGGAGAACGATTTCATCGAGACCGTCCGAAGATCCCAGATGTACATACTGTATATATGAATGTATAATGATGTATATGTGTATACGGGTGTATACACTTTTAAAAAGACAATCCGTTGAGCCGGCCGCCAAACAATAATGTGTATTCCTGTTTCGTTCAGTTTCATGTTTTTTCGGCCTCGGTGAAGCCTCAGCGGCTCAAGCAGTTGCTTTTCGCGGCATGGGATTCCAGCTCTTCGCCAAACGGGCGAGGAACGCGACCGCTAAATCGGCGGGAGAGGCAGCTGAGTCATCCCAATCTGGTCATGTCGTGTGTATCCAGGCCAGGCAGGGAAATGCTGGGGTGGGTTCAAGCGGTTCAAGACCACTTGAAGGAGTTGCTGTTTTTCCTTGTGTGTGTCTGGGGGCTTGTAGGATCTTGTACACAACTTGTACTGCTCATTCCTTAGCTGTTTTCCTTGTGTGATCGTCTCCGGGCTCAGGCTGGAAAGTGGGCTGGTGAGCATCCAGTGAAGCTGCTGTGCAAGGCCAAGGCGGACCAAGAAACACGCCAAGCTCTCACAGCTGAGGAGGAGCTTGAAGAATTGCAAGGCCAATGGGAGCTTCAGAGTGTGAAGGCAAAGGGGGACAAAGAGAACAAGAAACGCAAGCGAGATCGAGGTGATGAAGGGGGGCGTGAAAAGTGTGAAAAGACTCAAGTCTTCGTGCGTGGAAAGAAGGTCGAGGAAAATGACGGGACAAAGCGCAGGTTTTTCCGCTTGGTCCTTGCTAAGAAAGCAATTGGACCTGTGGATGGGGCTGGTGGATACCGACAAGTGAAGAGTAAGGGAAAGGGCAGTGGCACAGGAAGTCTTGGGAGCCCAAGCTCAAGCAATGTTCCAAACAGGCATGAACTACCACCTCTTGAGGGCCCAAAGGTGTTACCAGAAATCTTTGGCAAAAGCAAAGGTGGCAGGGGCAAGGGCAGCAAGGGCAGCAAGGGCAAGAATGCCACAAGAAGTTATTGGGTGGGCCACTGGATGTTGCTGCATCACACCCCCAAGATCTTAGTCAAAGACGCGAAATCGGGCCCTTTGTGGTGGCATCCAGCTGAACAGGCCCTTTGGGGCCGAGGCGGACGGGCCACGGAAACCTGCAACATCCAATATTTGTCCGATGGGCACCGCGAGGCTTTGGAGCGACATGAGAATGACCCACTAGGCTTTTGGCGCACCAAGAAAGGGTTCCAAGTGCAGCTGAGGCGTGTGTAACCACCAAGCTACGCCACCCCAGAGGCTTCCTTCGATAGATCCTTCAGCAGATCCTATAGAGTTGTGCAGGTACCAGCCCTCAGGAGCAGCAAAGCTCCACTTTCGATCGAAGGCAGTCGCGCAGTCGTGGTCTCGTTGTGTCCAATGGGTTGAAGGACTGATGAACGCATTGTGAAAAGCAGGCTGGTTGCCGTTGCCAACGATGCCAACATTGGCGAACATTGGTGGTCCAGGTCTGGCCATTCCAGCAAGGAGGTGCTCCCACTGCAACTGCAGACTGGCGAGATCATTGCTTTGGGCATCACGCCAAGTGTACTGAAGGAGCAGCCATTTGCGAATTGTCACATTAGTAGTGCTCTTTGTTTTGATGCCTTGCTTTTGACACAGCAACGTGAGACCGGCTTGAAGCTCAGCGTGCAAAAGCAATCATTCCTGGCAGAGTTTGCGTAAAGAAACTGTTCTGCCTTTACATCCAGCATTTCAAGCTGATGAGACCTAACACACTGGGAAGAACAGTTGGGAGCAACTTTACTTCAAGAGACTTGAGGCCTACCATCAGCACCACATCCTGTTCATGCCACTTGGCTACACACCTTGTCCGACGCGCCAGGCAGAACTGTCCATTTCTTCCGATGCTTTGCTGCCCTCCCCGCGACCTGGCCCTTTGGCTCGCAATGGGGTCGGACCAGGTGATCGTTTGTGATCATAGTCAACTTCATAGTCATAGTCATCCAAAAACCATGTACAGAACACAAATGGTACAGCTGCACGGCTGTTGATGGTGTGTTTTGGCATCTTGAAAGTTCATCTCCCAAGAATTCTAACTCGCTGGCAAGCTGGCGAGCACATATTGTTGCCAAGATTTGTGGTCCCGCTCTGGGTTCACATGCTCGGAGATTGGGTCTCACAAAGATCTAGCTTGCACCATTGCTGAGATATAAATAAATAAACACACGCATATACATATATATAATATACACATCCTAATCCTACACATCCATTGAGCGTTGGACGAGGTGAACAACATTCACTCGTGGCACTGGGTGAAAGTTCAAGTCCAAGCGCTAGACCTTCATCTCACATTTAGGTCGCGAGCCTGATCCTGGCTTGACAGGCGTTGCCGGATGATGTCACACCGGCAAGAACCGTTTCAATGGGGTCTATGTTGAACCGGGTTCTGTTCATGATTCATGACAATGTAATTTGCCAATTGGATCCAATTGGTTCATGCCACGGCCATTGATGGTCGAGTGGTCGGTCTTTGGCAAAGGCGGTTCCTGGAAAGCTTGTGACTGGGAAAATTGGGGTTCCGTATCTCAGGGGGGTGGCACTGAGGAGTAGAAGTTGGATGAAGTTGGTCGAGTCAAGTTGTTACGTTCGTCACCACGACGAATGGATCGGGATCGGGTGATGCAGGACGCGGCAAGGAGCAAGCAAAGGCAGTGGCAGCGATCTTAAATCACTGGCTCAAATGGTAACTGATGGTAGATGAGTAATTTGAGTTTTGTATTGCCTCACGTGGCTGCGCGGTTGGATGCTTGGCACCATTAGTAGTGAAGTGATGCTTGAGGGCCACTTCAAATTAGGTCAGAGCCAAGGCCGTGCAATGTGCAAATGTAGCCACTCAATGCGTAAATCACCAAGCAACTGTGGTCAACTTTGTGTGTAAAGTGCTAGGGGGTCAGGCCCTACACATGTAGCTCCGCTTTTTCCCCTTGTCCCCAGACCTCTCAGCCTCCAAGGCAGAGCTGCTGCAAAAAATCAAGGAAGATCCGAAAACCGAGTCCAGGCAGGCACTGGCCACTTTGACGCTGTCGCTTACGCGGCGCCTCATGCGTAGCAGCATAGTGCCAGGACCAGTCGCTTACGCGGCTTCTGATCGAGTGGTTTGTTTCAGAGGAAAGCCCTCAGAAAAGTTTGTGTGCAATCTTTGAGGGTGGGAGCGTCATTGTGCCATCCACGTGTATTTTTGTGGCTCTAGGGATCAATCCACATAGTGAAAGTGCCACTGGGTCGCCCATGGCGGAGCACGCGAATGGCTGTGACACTGGGGCAGAAGCCATGGCTGCGTGCCGTGGACGCAAGAAGTTGCGATTGACCCCGTTCGCTTCACAAGCTCGAAGTGTAGTGGGTTGTACAACGAAGATCGGCACATTGCAGATACCTTTGTTGATTTTTGGTGTTTTTTCTGGCCGAAGTCAGGAGCCATGCAAGGAGCACAGTCAGGAGATGCATGTCATCCATGTCCACGAAAAAGAGCCAACGTAACATCAGCGCCCTGTTCTGGACATGTCCTATGCTGCTTTTGGACACCTCATGATCCATGAACGGGCCAGCTCCATATCAATCTTGTGAGTGACTTATGATTTATGGATCCACAATCTGTTGCACAACAAGATGACACAGAGACCTCCCAAGATGGATTTTATTATAGTTAAGGATCCCAACATATATAGAATTATATAGAAGAGTTGCAACTCCAAATCTTTGTTGAACATGGTTTCTATGTGTGCATATATATATATACACAACTATTTTGGGGGTTGCTACGAACCAGTCGCGGTTTTGCAAGGCTCGCAGACAAAGATGCCACTGAGCTGCGGGGCATGGCAGATCGCCTCACAAAGGGCCACGAGTCCCTCACTGAAGCTTGGCTGCGGGGGCGTCTTTCGTTGTGGGACCTGGCAAGCAATGCAAGTGCAAGCATTCGCATTGGCATCTTTAGGATGACCACATGTTTCACCCTTTTTGCCTTGTGCCTTGGAACAGCTTGCCATAAGATTCTGGACTCGGTTCAGACCATGGTAAGAAATGGAGAAGTGCTTGTGAGTCTTGTTTGCAGTCGAGGAGATGTTGAAGGATTTGGAGATAGAGCGAGACTTGCTTCAGAAAGAGAAGGCCGCCAGAGTCCTCCCCATAGCGCCGGTTAATATGGTTTTATTTATCCCTGCGATGTATGATAGAGTCATGCTGCTGATTTTAACATGAGCCCCTCAGTCTTCGATCTGCGCAGGGACAGCTGAATGAAACCATCTCGCTCTTCATGAAGGAGCTGCAGAAGCTGCATATTGGCAGCCGCCTCAGACCCGAAAACCATGACATGAAAGCAAACGTGCATGGTAGGGTGTGGCTGTGTAGCCCTTGCACTGGAATACATGTGGATGTGAGAAGATGTGTCTTTCAGCAAGCACCAGGTTCGCAGAACACGGTGGAACCCATGTTGGAAGAAGGCCCCCTCGATTTCGTGGGTCGCTTCTGGGAGACCGTGAAGCCACGCGACACCGCCTACGTGGCTGGCGAGCACATCGGAGAGATCAGGAAGCCTGGGGAGAAACCCGAGGGGCCCAACCCCTTAGCAGCGCTCAAGCAGGCGGCTTTGGCACATGGGGTCCCACATGAGCTGCCCAATGTCAACGTACAGGAGAAAGTGCAGGAGGCCGGAGTTTGGGAGCGCAAAAGTAGGACTATCAAAGAACAGAGGTCGAGACATGCATTTTGACTTGTGGAGCCGAGACACGCGCCCCCTCTCTTGGAGCTGAGGTGCAAGACATGGGAAAGCAGGCCGTGAAGAAGCTGTCCACTGCCTTTGAAGAGGCACGCTCGAGCGCTTTCTGGCAAAGAGCGCAAGGCTATTGGGAAGAGAAGCGGCGGCTTGCCATGCTTGGATAGTGCACGGCACTGCACCGGTTCGGAGGCTCCGTACAGGTACCACCCAGAAGGTGAGATGGGCTCCGGTTTCCGTACAGGCGGGAAGAACCATCAAATCGGAAGCCGCAGAATCAGGTGGAGTACTGTTGATCTTTGGTTCAACAGTCATATACATGGGACTCAGAACCCATGTGAACAACTCCAAGCTTGGATGATGCAAGTCTGATGTGGAATGTCTCCTTGACAAGACCGGCCGTGAACACGGTCCAAGTGCATTAAGGCTGCTAGCTTTATTCTTCAGTAATGCAATGGGCCATGCGATTCCCCTTCTAGACATGGCTCGATTCTGGGGAAGAGTTTGCAGTTCTGCCCAGAGTTCAGCAATCAGACTTTAAAGAAGTGTTGTCAGCTCACAGTGGACAGCAGAGGCTGACAGGGTATCCAGGTTCTTTTCTGATCTTTTTTGGATTTGCCCTTTGGATATGGTTCCTATAGCAATTCTAGTCGTCCCTGTCCCTCATGGACATGCTATTCAATACTGAAATATACGCCGAGAGCATGATCATTTGGAAGGGACTACCGGACTACCCTGGTAAAGGCCCAGATAACCGACCAACTCCAACCAACAGTTTCAACTACCGGACGTCTCCTTACTACAGTACCATGTTTTGATTGGAACAGTATATTTTTCGATATGTTTCGGATGTGTTTTGCACCCTTGTGGGCTCGGTGAGCTCAGGAGTGAGATTGCCAAAAAGGTGGATGAGGTCCGGGTCTCTGCTGCAGACACTTGGCAGCATTGTTAAGGGTCAGTGCGTGCTGCAATAGGGCTTATCACAGAATCAACCTCGACATGCCCATAACAAGATATTCATGCAGTGTGCACTGGATGAATGGTTGTGCGCCGAGCAGACCTTTGCCATGAGTAAAAGAAGCAAGTGCTGCCTGGTCCGCAGGCTTCAACAGCTCAACGAGTTCCAGCAGGCGTGGCTGCACGGTGTCGTTATGCGTCACCAGACCCAAAACTGAGATGGGAGAAGAGCACATAAGAGTACCTGTATTGAATCTTGCAGAACCCCCCCACTAGCAACACTCCGTAAATTGTGCATCATCCTGAGTACCATATGACTGAAGGTATTGACCGGAGGAGGGGCAACATTCTATCACACGCGGGAATGCCTTCACAATCCTTCACTACTCACTTGGCCAAGCCTGGAAATGTTTAGTGAACGTGGCTTCGGGTGTGAGCAACCCTGCACAAAAAGGGCTGTTGAATGTGAAGCATGCTTTTTTCCTCTCGCACATGTTGGACCACAGCATGTTTACTCTTGGACCCTAGTAACAAGGACGCTACTAGGAACAAAGGGCATCGCTACTAACTACTAGGAGGAAGGACCCTACTAGTAGCTCCTGGCCATACTACTATAGTAGCAAGAAGCTCATAGCAACTAGGGCATTGTTACTAGTAACAAGGACGCTACTAGTAGCTCCTGACCGTACTACTAGTAACAAGAAGCTACTAGCAGCTCCTGGCCATACTACTAGAAACAAGAAGCTACTTAGCAGCTACTTGGAACAAAGTAACAAAGAGCATCGCTACTAGCTACAAGGACATTACTACTAGGAGCAACTAGCTACTAGTAACAATAAGCTACTATTTTTGACCTCCCATCTCAGATGGATGCCATGGAGTCGGGACATTCGAAAACACCTGCGTGCCATTGCGTGCCTTGTGCACATGGCTTTGTCATGTTTCGAAGGCCAAAGCGCTTGCTTGGTTGGTTTCAGGAAAGACACGCAAGAAGGAGCCAACTGTTGTAGCGGTCTGGAACTCAACGATTTGGTTATATAGCTCAAGAGACACGGATGGTGCAAATGGGGGCAAGCTATCAAGATGCGCGTGATGACATCACGTTTACATGAGCCGTAGTTCCATTTTGTGTGTTCTGCGCACTTAGAAGATCTCAAAGTATTTATATAAGCATGGCGATGAAGACTTGTCAACTGTAGCCTGCGCCTGTCATCCTAGGTTGAGAAGTCAGACGCGGCCCCGTCTGAGTCCACCACCAGTGCCACAACGCAGGCTGGGCCCATCAGAGCAGCATCAGATGTTCTTCGCAACTGGCGACTCTGCTAACACTGGGTCTTGGTTTTGTTGAGCATGCGGGTGTTGTGCTGCCGGCACCGCCAACACAACACAGATTTTAATATCGCCGCGCCCAGAACCAAAAGCTTGCAATGACCCACGTTACGAACCACCAACGCAACAGATGGACAAGTCCCATTAGCTTGCTTTCATACTAATTGTGTGTGCGAGAGAGGATGGGCTGTCTTGAGAAGTGAGCCCAGTATTGGGTCTACATTCGACTCTGGATAGTCAGGCAAAGCGGGAAACAACGCATAAGAATCAAGGGTTTGGAAGTGAAGTGGTTGTTCTCCACAGCCAGGTTCGTGTGGTTTTGTTGCGCTCCTGTCGCTCTTGTCCTAGCCTGAAAAGAACGTTGATTCAACTTTGCTTCACAAATTTAGCAGAGGCAAGCCAAAGGCAGACAACAGGCGATTCCGAAGGGCAACTTCGATACTGCAAACAACACATGGCAAAGAAGGGGTGAAAGGTTATGAAGCAACAGCGCAAAAGACAAACACGTGGCAAGTGAAAGGAAAGAGCAAGCAGAAGGAAAGAACCGAATAGACACAATAGACAGCAAGAAGATTTGGTAAAGGACGTGACATGTCTGTTGGGTTGTCTTTTTGTTTTGACATTTGTGCTTTGGACTTTCCATTGTCTTAGCCAATTTTAGCCTTTTCAAAGGCCAGCTACTGTAGCTCCTCTGTTGGAATCTGCCGAATTCCCCAGCAGCTGCAGAAACCAGGAAACGCCAGGGAACCCACAGGAAAGGTCCACTGATCAACTCATTGGACCACCTGTCAAATCTCAGCTGGCACCATTGGAAGGGCAACTAGAAGAAGGGCCATGAGCTTCCTAGAAGGATTCTACAAACTTGCCGTTCATCGTTGCAAGGAGATTTTAACTACAGCTCAATTTACTCAATGGTCCGAATCCATTCGCAAGCTTTTCGCACTTGTCAGTGATACCTGGATGCCCTAATTCATGCGTATGACACCTTGTGTCACCAACCTTTGGAAACCCCTCCTACCATAGTGGAAAGGTCCGTGAGCGAGACTGAGACGTCGCGTCCGCAAGTTCGAGACCACCCTGTGCTGCCGTGAGCTTTCAAAACGTGAAGGTCGTGCTGTTGTTTTCATTTGGGTTTCTTGTAGGGTTCTTGTGTATTTCTTGGGTCTGTCCCACCTGTAACAGTCGGCGCACAATCATCATTTTAGAGAAAAAGGCCTTTACTAACGATCATCGTCCGCCGTCACTGGTGCTAGGATAGGCACAATGTATTTCAAATGGTATTTCCTTGGTTTGATGGTGGGTCCAAGTCCGCCTGTTTCAAAGTGTGGCAGTGTGGGACCTTTTATAAGAGCCCCACCCCCAAAGGGTTTTGACACTGAGCCTCGTTGGGATTGTGTCTGAAGTGTGCCCTGGTGCTTCAGGCATCTGAAGCTTCTCAGGACAGTTGATTTTTTGTCAGGCAACGGCAACGGCAAAGCTATCCCAAGCTTATGATCAGTGACAGTCTGATTTTACATTGCTTCCGTGGCAAACTGAAGTTGATCAAAGAACCCTTTGCAAAAGCCCTCCAGGTATTCAATCGGTCCCCGAAAACGCACACGCCCACTTGAGCATGCTACAAGCCTGTTTCAGGTTAGCTTTCCGGGGCGCGCATGAGTTTGCGTTCATAGATTTCAACGGAGTCACGGTCACGTAATTGTTTATTTCATGAAGCGTCGCTGGCTCATCAAGCATCGCTGGTTGGGATGATACACCATGATACACTTGTAGGCTTTGGCTGAAGACTCGTATGGTAAACTTATCGCTACCAGTAACAAGGGCATTACTACTGGTAGCTTCTATTATATAGTAGTAATGCCCTTGTTACTAGTAGCGATGCCCTAGTTACTAGTAGCTTCTTTTGCACGTTCATCCTTGCTTCTGGGTGGAGAGGAGGCGTCCCGCCACGGACGCTAGGAGACGACGGAGCCCGCAGAAAGCACCGGACGAGGAGCGGAGAAGCCGAAGCCGGTGGAGAAGACTGAGGCAAAGGAACATGAGGCTTTTCAAGATTCCATGGATCACTTGGGAGACAGAGACATCGATTTTTCAAAGAGGAAAACGAGATTCCAGAGTCCAATAGTTTGTGCTTACAGTATTAGTCACACTTGTGGATTGATCTGATTGATGTGGCATGATGTGGCTGCAGGTGCCCGAAGCAAAAGTTGAGAAGGCACCTGAGAAGGAAGAGAAGACGGACTTTTGCTTGAACTTTGTGGTGCCATGTGGTGCCCGCTTCCCCGCTGTGTTTCTGTTTAAACATAAGAAAGCACTGTCCACTCTCAGATGCTCAGCCAAGGAAACGAAGGAGAAGTCCCCCACCTCCAGACAAGAGACTATTTTGATTGAAGCTCAGGTCTCCTGACTGAGATTTGGACAGGTAGGCGACATCAAGCAACTTTTTCTTTGGATTCCTCACAGGTTCTTAACCTTGTCGGATGCCGACACAGTGTCAAATTAAGTATAGCAGTTCGCATGGCCCAGATGCTTTGCAGAAGGCAGCTCATTCAGCCGCTATGGCACCAAACGCTAGCGAACTCCTTGCCAACCCGGGCTGAGATGCGCAGCCGCCCAGGTGAAAATTGGGGATGGCAGTGTCCAGACTCTGTGTGTCCGAGCATCCGACCGGTGCAAAGATGCAGCCGAGCGCTTCATTAGTGAGAACTCCCTGAAGGCGCTTGAAAAAGTGTGAAGATTGGCACTTGGCACTAGGTACAGTCATACAATGTTAATCAATATTACATTACTATATCTGATACATTTCCCCCCACACAGTGCGTCCACACTAGGGATTCTTACAGTAGTGGTTAAGGACGGGTGTCTGATCGAGGTGTTCATCGGCGTGTCCGGCTTATTCGCTACTATTTGCAGCACGGTACGTTCACCTCCAGATCTCCGAAGTGCATTTCGGCTGCCCGGGCTCGCAGAATCTGGTGGGCGCGAGCGGGTGCTCTTCGAGACTGCCCTCTCGTTGTGGGAGTGGTTCTATGTCGATGTGCCGATTTCATGGCAGGCGCAGTGCTTTGGATATGGTGGTCTTCGGTGTGCACTGGCTTCGTGGCAGGTGCAGTGAATCGTGGCTGCTGGACAGGTGGCTGGTTTTCAGAAATCGGAGGAAGTCTCGAGCAACAGCTGCGTTTTGGCATCTTGACGTTGTCTTTGGAAGTGCTCTTTCTGTGAATCGCTGTGAACCTTGATGTGCAGATGTCGTGGCAGGCACGACCTTGAAGTGCAGATTTCGTGACAGGCGCAGCACTTTGTGGATCTTGAGGTGCAGATACCAGCACCACACGCAGCACCAGCACCAGCACCAGCACCAGCGCCACCACCACCACCACCACCACCACCACCACCACCTGCTGTGAAGAATAGTGTATCCCTACTTCCATACAAACTCTAGTTCGCTAGTTAAGAGACAGGTGGTGACAGTCTGACCTTGTTTCGCTGCATCGATATTTCGCTTCGATGCTTTTGGCCGGTTTTTACCAAGGATGACAAGCACTATAGAAGTGTACTATCCAAGGAAGACACGCACTCGAGAAGTGTACCAGTTGCTGAAGTCCTTTGCGCTCCATGCGCAGTTCGGCATGTCGCAGCGGCGGGTCGGACCTAGCTACTTCACGAGTGTTGACTTTGAAGTTCACTTGAGTGTTCTAGGTTTTGGTTCTACTTGTTCTCGGTGTTAGATTTTCACATGGTAGCGGAGTCCTGAAAAGGGCATAGATTTAGTTCAAGTCTTGGCATTTTCTTTCATGTCACGTAGTTGCCATTCAGCAGAGCTGAATTTGAGCAATGGATGATGCCGAGACTGGACGATCTGGCCGCGAGCGATCCCGAGACCGTTCACAGACCCGAGAAGATCCACAAGAGCCTCGGTTGAGTGGAGGTGGGTTGGAGGACGGAAGATTGAGCCGGCTGGAGACCCAAGTCTCAGAGCTTTCGCAAGCCATGTTGGCTTTAGGACCAGCCGTACAGCAGATTCTTCAGTTGCAACGAGCTCAACAGGTGAATCCCAATATGCCGACTCAACGGCCTGAACCACCTACAGCAGCACCTCCCCCTCCCTTCAACCCGGGATCTTTTCCACAGACGCCCGGTAGTGCAGATGTTTCGAACGCACAGCCTAGTCAGGCGAACAATCCGAATGTGATAGACCCGAATGTTGTGAATGCATCAGGTTCTCAGCCAATCCTTGGAGGAATTTTCATCAAACTCCTGCCCAAGCCGCTGGGATTCCTGATCAGCCGTTTCCTACCAGCATGCCTCAGAGCCCAGAGAGACCAAATCCGTTTCATGTTTTTTCCGATCAAGGCCGTGTGTCCCAGACTCCGCTTCCACCAGGGTTGACCCCGAATCCATCACAGTTCAATGCACCACCAGGAATGCCAGTTGGTTTTCCCACTGTTGGACATCATCCCATTGCCATCGATACTCCACATGGGTCAGCTCATGGCACAAGTGATGAAAACCCGTTTAAACGGTCCGAACGTTGGATGCCTAGTGTGCCGCTTCCGGCATTTGAAGAGTGGAAAACCAGACCTCAAGAGATCACAGGGTTTTTGTCATGGATCACTTCGTTAGCTAGTTGGACAGGTCTTGGATCGAATGCTTACCCGTCAGAGATTATGATGTGCATTAAGGAGACAGAACCGTTGGGTTGGCATCGATTGCAACCGAGCCAAGTGACCAGATCTGTGAGACTCTTGTCCATTTTGAAGACATGTTTCGGAAACCATGCGCGTGCGAGCCTTGTCATCAAGAATTATGAAGAGTCAAAGGGGTTTCATCGTTGCTGCGGGTTCGAATTCTTACGTTTAATCGCTCGTGAATTCGCTGTCAAGACACGAACTGAACTCCTTTTCTTCAGGACACAGCTCACAAACAGCAGCATTTCAGCTCCACAAGACCGGAAACCATTAGGACCATCCAGTCTGAGCTTTTCCAGTATGAACGTGTTGCCCAACTCGTCGATCCGTGTGTGAATGTCAAAGGTTTAGAGTTCTTCGAGGCCGATAAAGTGTTGCTACTCCTCAGGGCTCTTCCACCTCAGTGTCGTCAGTGGATTGTCCTGAACGCACCAGATGAGTCGTTTAGCGCATATGTAGAGAGCGCACTTCGGTATGAGGCACAGCAGAGGATTTGGTCAGACTTGAATGGTAAGCCAATTGCTGCTTTGAATGCACCAGGAGACAAAGGAAAAGGCAAGGACTCCAAAGGAAAAGGAAAAGGAAAGGACAAGGCCAAGGAAGGAAAAGGATCTGACACACGTGGAAAGGGAAAAGGAGGATCTGACGAAACCCGGACTTGCTTCACATGTGGTCAACGTGGTCATTTGTCTGTTGATGGTCCTTCACGAGGTAAAGGTAAGGCCAAAGGAGATGCAGGAAAGGACAGGCAGAAAGGCAAAGGTTCGTCAGGAAAGGTGATGCCAAAGGACATGGTAAGCCGAAAGGTAAGCGTACGACAGAGTTCCCACTTTCCCAACCTGAGTCTGCCGGCAGTGAGTGATCGGAGCCAGAGATTGAAGATGGAGGGCGGTTGTCCCCTTTCTTCGTTTGCCAGAGTACAGACATGCATGATCCGTATGTGTGGTTGGTAGACTCAGGAGCAAGTCGTACGGTCGTCTCGATCGAAGCTCTTTCGGCCTATCGCGTGTTGAGAGAAAGAAACTTGACATCGCCTATCCACTTTAGGACCGCATCCGGTGAAGAAGTTCAGATTGCTCACGAGTGCATGTTGGAAGTTTTGTTTCCTACTATTGTTGAAATGACGATCAAGAGAAATCAAAGCTTGTGAGGTATGAAATCAGGGCAGCGGTAGGACCAGTCGAACACAATTTGTTGAGCGTGTTTAGCCTGACACGTCTTGGTGCAACTTTCGAGTACGGTCCTGACGGATGCCACATTCGAGTCGGTGATATGAGGCGAGTGGATTGTGAAATCTGGGCGAATGTCCCATGGCTTCGAGCACATCGCAAGAAGAGTCGTGGCCGGGATCAGGGCGTTGAAATGGGAAGTTCTTTGGGACGCTTGTCGGAAGCGTGGTCAGAGTCAGATGGGTCCCCAAAGAAAGACATTGAAGATCCCTCCAATTTGCCAAAAGCATCCGTTCGTGGTCCGTTCCGTTTGTCACCGGAGACGACTGTTCGATCACCATCCAAGACTCAGCATGCAAAGGTGTTGAAGTTTAGTGATCAACCGGAAGTTCAGACAGTTGAGATTGCAGTTCATGAGCCCAATACAGACTTACAATGCCCGAATGAATCGTCTGTACTTCATGTGCGTTAACCACTGCCTGCTCCAGGTGAACTGGACATCGATGATTCTGAAGGACCAGAATGCAAGCCCAGGAGACGCATATTTTCAGAGTTTTTCACGAAAGATCGAGATTGAGTTGACCTTGCGTAGGCGACGTGGCCACTTGCCATTTGACCGAAGGTGTTCGCATTGTGTCCGAAGTCGATCCACCATTCATCATGGTCGAAGGAAAGAGGGTGGTTCGAGTCCACAAGATCACAAGTAAGATCACAAGTTGTTGTTGGTACAGGCTGACTTCTTTTTCGTAGGTGTGGCAAATTACAAGTATCTCCTACTGACAGACGCAGGAACAGGGTTGATTGGTGTCGCACCGTGTGGAATGAACGTTGATCACACTTTGGCTGAGTGTCGAAGGTACTTTCAACAACTAGGAGTCAGCGAGCAATCAACAATGAACATTGAAGTGCTCACGGACTCGGAACGGGCCTTGGGAACCCTACTCAAGAAGCTTGGACTTCCTTTGGTCATCAAGACCGCTGCGCCTCAAAGCCATCAATCTGTTGGTCTTGTCGAGCGCAGCGTGAGACGCATGAAGGAAATGCTTTCTTGTTTGAGAAGTGATTTACGCTCGCACGGTTTCGACATTGTACAGAGTGAAGAGGGTTTTGGAAAGATGCTCCAATACATCACCCAAACGCACAACCACTTTGGTTTAGGCGGGTCGATTGGAAGATCGGCAAGCCGATTACGACCATGTTTGGGAGCGTATGCGTGGCGAAAGTTCCAGAGTCGTTGATTGAGTTGGTCCCCGAACGAAGTCGGTTCATACCTTCAGCGTATTGGCGTATAAAGGCCAACAGTTTAGCCCATGTCGTGTCCACCAAGATCGCAGGAAAAGAACACACGTTTCAGGCAGAGGTCAAGGTGTTGGATAAGCTGCTTTGGGATGCGAGTTTGGCGCCCAGTGTTCTTCAGGATCTTGGAAAGCCTATCGACGCTCCTGCATTGGATGATGGTATGCATCCGGCCAAGCCGCTGGATGATGAGGTTCGGGCTGAAGAAGCGTTGCCTAGTACAGGCCACCCCAGACCTTGGGTTTTGGAACACGGGCCAACCCCAAATTGCGGTGCGTGCAATTCCGTAAGTAGACACGGTCGAAAACACTCCGCGGCATGCTGCCGACGCTACAGAGCATGGGTCGAGTCAGAAAGGAAACGTATGAGTGAACCCATCCAGAAGCCATTGGAATCTGAGTCTCATTCCCCAGATGTCAAGTCAGATCACTGGTCGAATTCGGTACAGCTCAAAGCAACCGACCACCTGCTTTTTCAGGCGACAGGGCACCCGCACCTGAGAATCCAGCGCCGTTGCCGGACGTACCATTGCCAGAATCAGGGGCTCTTGACATGAGTGATTA